AGATCACGGAAGTCGTTGAGACGGCCAAAGTCTATCAGTTGGAGAAAACCAGAACGAATAAAGGCATCAAGGTGAGGCACGGCAATCAGGACCGCGTGTTTCGTTTGGAATTCGTGTCGAACGCCACCTTTTCCGATTCCGAGTTTAGTAAATGGATAGAGACCATGAAGCTGCAGGTACGGCGCGGTGCGTTCGCCTTACGAAGGAGTTTTAGTATTTCTCTACTTTTTCCAAACAGTTAACATATTATTGAAAAATAGCTGATGACTTCGTAAGCGAACGTTGTGATTCTTATAATTCGAATTGCATGATCATTTGTTAATTCTTGCTTTCAGAATCTTCCTCTACCAACTGTAGACTTCGTGGAACGCAAGGTAGAGGACATAAAACGCGCCTTTACATACCGATATACGGACAAAGACATTGAACAGGTATAATTTCGAAATAGGAGTTCTGCATGATCGGATATGACATTGTGCAGCATGAGATGTATGTATAATCAAGCATAATCCAGAATATCGAAGGTAGTCTTATGATATCTTTCACAAAATTCTTGGCTTCAGTGTTATTTAGCCAATCCTGTGTCTTCGCTTTGGTCTTTTTTGAACAGTACAGTTTATTGCCGCATTTCGCGTCGTCGCAGTTTTTATGCCATTGACTGAAATTTCCCGTAAGTTTTGCTGCGCTTTCGCTTCTCGTATCATCGCAATCGAACAGAGACCGTTGCACCAATCCGATGAACATCTTCGCTTTACTATGTTGACGAGTCATTGGGCAGAAATCTTGATGTAGAAGTTTGAGTTCATATCTTATAATTGGTTGTCGTTTTATACACTGTTTCATTTGAACAGGGGAGACGTAGAGCGCGGTACAGCAGCCATTGTGAGGAGGCATTTACTTTTGAAATAGAGGACGTCATTGACTTTCACGGAAGAGAGCTCATTTGCTGAGCGACTTAGCCGTGGCAGCCCCTTCCCAACCAATGGATAGTTAGAACCATCAGACGAGGTTTTATAATAATCCATGAGAGCCTTGTTGGTCAAACTTTTCATGGTTCACGGCTACCATAGCGGGTAAAGGCTGAACCTACGGCACCACACTTCATCCTGCTGAGCAGTCCTTCACTTTGATCCTAGTCTGCTTCCTGCGACGATGATTAGTGGATGGTTTTTCGGAAACTACACATTCTTGAAGAGCTGCAAATTACATATAAGTTTTTAGTTTTAGTTTATTGGTCCTCTATAAGCTAAGTTTTGAACATCCATGATAACGTCCGAAGTGCTCATTAGACATTGGTTCTGCCTTTAAATCATTCAGTTTTCAGTTGCACAGCTTGTGACACAGCGCTGCTGATACGTGATATGCTTCATCTTGTTTTGTTTCTTATCACAGTATTAGATTCCGTACAGCCTTGCCACTTTCGCCCCGTTTTGTAAGTAACGACCTATAACATTGGACCTAAAGTACAGCTGTAATACCGGCATGGCGTATTAAATAAAACTTGTTCGCCGGCAGAGTCTGATCCAAGATGCGTTCCGTTCTTTGTTCTTTCTATAATCTTCAAAGATTAACTGC